AGAGTCAGACTCAATTGGACAGAGGCAGTGGTGGGTTGCAGGCGGCACACCCCAGCACCGGGTACCGTTCCAGTATGGTGCTCCAGAGGGCCTGCCCGCCCACGCTCCTTACCTGTCTTTAAACTCTTCGGTGCTTCCGCGCACTTGCACAGCGCATACAGTGCCTGTGCGATGCTCTACCGAGCAGCTGCAGCATTGCAGAGGCTTGCGGAGGCGTCGCTAGACGGTAAGACGTGTGCGTGCACTGCCCGCATTCATGTGGAGAATGCCAGACCCTGTTGCAACCGTACCGGTTGTAACGGAATCCAGAACCCACCACTGGACAGAGGAAACCTTTACCATTTTTTTTAAGAGACATGCATGTCTGATAAAACCTGGGAACTAATACTCAGGAACTATTTGCTATCTGCATATCATTTAAATGGGAAGAGGGGCAATGAAGGTGAAATAGGTATTATGGTTCCCTAAATCAATCATGTTGCATACCATTTTGGGTAATTCACACTGTTCAAAATTGTTTCCATTTTTAGACCAAGAAGTCCAGCGTTTGAAAGTAGGAATGGAATCACTATTGGTTGCAAATCAGGAAAAGGTAAGAAAGCAGTTATGAGTTAGCCCGGGGTTTTTTGTTGTGTTTTGTTTGTTGGAAGGTAATGTTAATAGACAATCTGTTTGGCTTCCAGATGCACCTCCCTTGTGCCTTTAATTACAGAGCTAAAATCTGCTCTGCTCTAACTTTCCTATCTGATCTGAAGAACAAGCCCAGCCTTTTTCTCTTAAAGAGAGAGATCTTTTTTAAAAAAAAAAAAACAATTGTATTAATTGTTTTTAATAGCATAATAAAAGCTAATACAAACCAGAATTTTTAAAAGGAGAAAATAATGCAAGGAAAAGAAAGACAAATGTATGAAAAGAACTCCCTGACCCCAAAAAAGTGACTTCCCACAATGAAAAGTGTAAACGATTTAAATCTCTTTACCTCCTCCTAGCTAACAAATATAAGACCCTTCAACCCATAACCTATCTCTTAGCCATAGGGAAGACATATAGTAGCGTCATTCTTCAATCCAATTACCAGCAAAAGATCCAAACAAAACTCTAAAATCTCCATAATGTATATATGGAACTCAACATTCTACATCTCAGTTATAACATAAATCATTTATAACATTTAAAAGCCATACAATGGTTCCACACTCCTAATGTAATCTAAATAAAAGAAAGCCCATATTTTAAAGCCACCATTTCTCCTTTACAAAAAACAAGGTCCAACATACCACATTCCAGAAAGCTACTTATCTCTACAATATACATTCCATATCTCTAAACTGTAAGCACATCCACATGTCATATGTTTAAAGTAATCCTAATAGCCTAATATAAACAAAAGACTAACATTTAGCATAACAAAGAGAAATATTTTCTCCTTTAAAAAGACCAAGTTCTCACTTTAAATTTTCAAAAAGCAGTTAAATACAAAGCCAGTTTAACTTCTATAAGTTTAGGATTGCATAAAGTAGGTGTAAGGGAAAGAATCTTTACATCATATTAAATGTGAGCAAATCCAGAACCAATTAAAATACCAGTAAATCCAGGAAGAGCTACCCAAAATGACAACATATCCCATTTTATCCTCAGTCGAATAAACTAACTATTTTCTTCTAAACAGGCTGTCTTTTTCTGTAATCCATTCAAATGGTTGTTGGTTAAAAATTATTGGTTACAAATTACTTTAGCATTTTATACAACCTCTTTTGTAAATCTAACAAAAAGGAAATTATTGCAATTGTTCTTTGGGATTTTCATTGTTATTTTATTTTTAATTTGTAGAGTCTTATTGAATCTTCTCTTAATATCTGGTGACAAATTCTTATTCAGAATCTTGTTATAGTTTTCTCAAATAAATTTTGCTGCATAGCTTGTTCTGTAACATCTTCATATGGGAACCAAGTGTTCTCAAGAAGACCCAACAAAGCTGACATGAATGAATCAAATTAATGACGCAGATCCCCATGCAGTTCCTCAAAGATATGTGTAAACTCCATTATAAATTGCTTGTCTTTTATGTCTCCAATCTCCAAAACAAAATTTTATTCCCACAGGCATACATTTATTTTTTTAAAGTAATCTCAGAGTCTTAATGCTCAAAGTCCAAAACTCCAGAATTTTCTGAACCCTTAAAATTTTCTATTGTCTTGCTTTCAGCTGTTTAAATTCTTAAAGACTATAAAAATAAATCTTTATATTCTTATATTGACGACTGAAAGCACTCACCCAGTACTTCCAGCCTTGTCGCTCTGCAGGTCTTAATTTGTTTAAAATAGGTACAAGACATTTTCTAAAAATAGATATAGCAAGAGAGGTGCACAAACTTTGTGTCATTTGAAAAATGTCATTTGCAGCTGAAACAAATATAGTGAATTCCCCTGTCTCCCAATTTCACCATTACCACCACCCCTACCGCCATCACCAGAGATAACTGTCTTTCAATCTCTTCGTGAGGAAGAGGAGGAACCATAAGGAGAAATAGTTTGAGCAATTTCTCCTGTGCGCTGCTTGGAGAGTCCAAGCATGAGTTAACTTTAGTCTATCTGCCCAAGGACTGAGTTGAATTTTGAGCAATTTCTCATCTCTTTGATCCAGAGAGGTTTGAATGAGGCAATCTGTGCCGGCCCCTGTGTAATTTCTGCAACTCTTGGTTCCACTTGTCCGTTGAGCTATCTTCATTCAGCCATATTCCTCCAGAAATCACTTTGAGAGAGATTTTAAAAGGAAAAAAATAAAACCCTCCTTGCTCAGGAATATCCTTTCCTTTCCATTCTGCATTTTTTCATCCCTAACTGATTGATGTTGAGTATCAAAAGTTTAAATCGAGGTAGCAATAGCAATAGCAGTTAGACTTATATACCGCTTCATAGGGCTTTCAGCCCTCTCTAAGCGATTTACAGAGTCAGCATATCGCCCCCCACAGTCTGGGTCCTCATTTCACCCACCTCGGAAGAATGGAAGGCTGAGTCAACCCTGAGCCGGTGAGATTAGAACCGCTGAACTGCAGATAACAGTCAGCTGAAGTGGCCTGCAGTACTGCACCCTAACCACTGCGCCACCTCGGCTCTTATTGTAGTGGGTCTTAAAAACATCTTATCCTGAATCCAATGGGCCTTATGTTTTTGAGTCCCATGTATGGACAGTCACTTTGCTTTCTCACTCCTCTTTGAGATATGCACAAACTCCTTCAATAGCTCACAAGCAGCTGCAGCTACACCTTCACTCATTTCTCTTGTTCTCTCACTGCTAGATCTGACCCAATCCAACTCAAGGAAAGGGAAGCTTTTCCGAGGATAGAGAGCATACAGCTTGCATTGTCTCTTTTTAAAGGTTTTATATTTGTGTTGCTGCTCAAAATTTCTCTGTGCACAAAACTAATTGGTTAATTCATGCTCATTTATTTCTTTGGCTGGTTTCTTCATTCCTCAGATATCTGTTGTGTCTCCCTGTTCCTTCTTGGAAGCTATACATGATGCACTCATTTTGAGGTCATGGTTTCTGGCATTGTATAATGTGCTGACCTTTTACTAGTTTTTTTCATTCGTGTTGTCTCTAGCTTTTCAGAATTTTTATTTTTAATTATTACAATTTTAAAATGGCTTAATCTTTTATTATAGCTATTCTATTTTTCTTTATATTTTATGGAATATATATTATATTCAAGCCATAGCTGGGTGGAGGGAGAATTTTTATCAAATATGGTTGCAAAATAGTTCTATGATTTGCTTTTTACAGACAAGAAAATGAACATCTAAGTACAGTTTTCCTAATATCAAAGTGAATGCTGGTGCCAGCAGTAAGAACATGTTGCCTTTTTTGTGTATCTGATTAAAACCAACCTAGAAAAAATATATACTTTTTTATCATTTGGCAACAAACCACAGAAACAACTTCAGGATTTGAAAGACTAGAAAAAGTCTCATGTATCTAATGTTTCATATAGAACTTTCTGTGTTTGATTATTTTGACACTCTTATAAATTCAGTGTTGTTGTCTTTTCCTTTATAGGACCGCCGCATAGAAGAGTTAACCGTTTTGCTAAGCCAGTACCGAAAAGTGAAAGAGATAATGCTAGCAGTCCAAGGTATAATTAATTACTGATATATTGATTGGAAGATCCTCAAAATGGTCTCATCTAATTTAATAACTAACATTTATTTAATGTTCAAAAAAATGGCCAACTGCCTTCATTACCATCTCTTCTTCCCCCCCCCAAAAAACCCTTTTCTGCTTCTTTCTCAGTTATTCGATGTATCCTTAGTCTACTTCAAAGTGTTTCAATTAAGTCTTGACTCCTCTGTCTGGAATATTAGGCAGAAAAGACTTTTTGAGTTCCAATACACTGTTGAACCTTTTTTTCCATCAGCATTTATAGTTCTGTGGATATTTTGTGTTGAATGCAGTGCAACAACCTCTATGTTTATTATGTAATCATATGTCATTCATCAGTGGATTGCAATGTCAGTATAAGAAAAGTAAAAGAAAGGTAAACAAGTTTTTGCCCTACTATTTGTGTTTATAGCAGGTGAATCATAGCTTAATATTGATTAGAGCTGTAACCCACAAGATACTATATAGAAATACAGTTGTGGAAAAAACAACCTACTTCCATTTCCTTTAAAATTGAATAGACTGATAAATGCTTGTGTGGTTGTTTCAGAGAGAACATTTTAAAATAAAAGGATTATGCACTCGTTTTCTACAAGGTAATATAAAAAAGTTTTTTAAAAAAGCAAACTGGCTTGCTGCTGATATGTTGAAAATAACTAAAGAAAGGCTGAATTCAAAAGGCAACAGAGCAGAAATGTTTGCCCAGGTACAGGTTGAATTAAATAAGAAGAGACATCTTACATCTAAGGAACTGCATCTAAACAGACATGCATCAAAGAGAATGAGGATAACATGTGGAGGAAAAGTGCAGGAGATTTATTTAAGAAAATCACGATAACATTTTATGTAAATATAGAACACAAAGTTCTCCTGAAGAAAAAAAATTAAGGTGCAAATATTTGGAGGAACTCTGCCAAAAATATTGTAAAATTGATGATGGGTAGAAAGGTTTTGATCACTGAAGTAGAGCTAGAAATGAAGTTAAATGTGTCCTAGAACATATTGCTATCAATCAAGCTGCGGGACTTGATGAAATACTAGCATTGCTGTCAGAAGTTAAAATACTGTTTGAAGTTTGTAATTTGGTATAGAAAACATAGCAGCAAGCCAAGGGGATGGAAATGTTCAATTTACATTCCAATATCAAAATAGGGCAATCCTATTTTTCAAACTACTAAATGGCTGCACTTATCTCAGACGCAAATCTTAAAGATTCTCTGATCCAGATTTCAGCCATTCATGGAATGATAGCAATCGCACTTATACCGCTCCATAGTGCTTTACAGCACTCTCTAAGAGGTTTACAGAATCAGTGTATCTGGGTCCTCATTTTACTGACCTCAGAAGGATGGAAAGCTGTGTCAACCTTGAGCTGATCAGGATCAAACTCCTGGCAATGGGTAAAGTTAACCTGCAATGCTGCATTTTAACCACTACACCTCCACAGCTCTAATAAGAATGAATAAGAAATACAAGGTAAACAAGCTACATTAAAAAAAGATGGGAGATTTCTGAGATCACACTAATAGCAACTAGTGGATAATGGAGAAGACAAGGAACCTTCAAAAAGATTCTGATTTTTCCTTTGTTGATTATACAAATTTGATTGTATAGATCACAACAAATTAATACATTGGTGTACCAGTCTAAATATTGATGCATTTGTTTCAACTTTCAAATTTTCAGGCATCAGAATTTTCTGCAGGGACTTCTCTCTTTGCATGATATATCCAAAGTATTTAAAATTTATAGTAGCTTCATTATTGTTGTCTCTAGCAAACAGTTTAGGTTTTCTTTATCTAACATTGAACTTATGAAAACTTTAAAAAAAGCAGTTATTGACGGACAATCTAGACAATCACTAATAATCAGAAGTAATTGAATTGCAAGGTACAGATTGAAAGACTAAGAAAAAACTTTGATCAAATCACCCTTTTCATATAAGAGATAGATATAGATAAAAATCACTATATGTTTGTCTGCAAATTATTATTGTTGTTGTTAGAATTACAATTATTATTATAAGAATTCTCATTATTCTCAGGTCAAGAAGTGATAACATTCTATAACTGTAAAACATTCATAGCAATAAAAGTTGTACAATCATTACATTGGAACACATTTTTAAAACCCTATCATTAAAGGGAATAGAATCCAGCAAGATAAATTGGTGAGCGTAGCATAAATGTAATGTATTTTGAATTCTGTGTATTCATATCCTTATCAGATGTGCAGGAATTTAGAGATTGTAACATAACAAATATTCAGTTTATGCTTTCCAAGAAGCTTCTTTGTTTGAGATCTCAATCACCTTAACTTACCTGTACAAAATGCAGAAGTCTCCAGATGTAGGAGCTCAAAGTATTGCTTAGTTACTATGATAACAATAATTTTGACAATGGAAGCATTCTTAATATTTAATAATGAATTTTCCCACAATAACATAACACTAATGAGAAAAAAAATCAAGGTTGAAAGAATATTAGTTGGCTTTTGGTCTCCTGTGTCTACTTTCTTCAAACTGTCATCCTTAAGCATGAAACGTTTATTGAATGGGATGGCAAATTGCATTCAGATAATTTCTGCTTCCATCGTCAAAACTGATTTTTTTCATGCTTAATTTATTTTGTGTGTGTTCACTTATCTTCGTATCTGGGCTTTTCTAACTCCATTCAGGAATTGTGGCATTTTATGTTGATGTCTAGTCAGAATGGGAGACATACTGGTATATCTAGAACATTTATTCTCCCTTCTTTAAAATAAAAGCTGGATACCCAAATAAATAAGTTTTAAACCCATTTCGCCATAATAATGTACAACTAATGCATTATAGTTTTAGTGAGGCTATAATTATAGTATTGCAGTTTAAATAAAGCTATAGGGTAATACTTGCTGACATGGTACATAATTTGACATTAGAAATTACTTTAATCATCATATTTCCCATCTTGTAGTCATTATTAGGCTAATGCCAAGCCTAATCCTTTAATATTTCTTAAATGATAGGTCTAGCAAGAAGGTTGTATTAAATGGCTTGCTTTTTCTCCAGAGCAGGCAAAAAATACAGGAAGAATTGCAAGAAGTAACTTCTTTGTCAGGCCTTGCTTCCATTTATCTAAACATAATATGTAAAATAAATGTTATGGGGCAATATTTTATTGTGCATGGTTATATTTTCCAGTGATGTAATGTATCTTTAAAAGAGCTTATTTACCACAAAACATTCAGTGATCCAATCTGCTGTAGTTAACTATCTTTGGCTCTTATGGGTAAAACTGTAATGGAACAACATAAAAAATAACTTGCGCTCTCTCTTCCCCCTTCCTCTCTCCCTCCCTCCACATATTCATACAAATATGTTCATGCTCTAGTATTCAACCTCTTATAGTACTTTATATTTTTACATATACGGTATTTATATATTACAGCTTTGATTTAATATTATAGAAATTATAATATTTTCCTTAAATATAATTTGATTAGCTCCTCCTTCTACATAGGTAAATTTTACAGATATTGTTGTTTGGCATGAAACTCAGAAGATTTTCCCTATGAAATAAGGCATGTCCAATGATCTGTATCATCAACAGAGGAAACCTTTTTTTAGCCAGATGCCTCTTATATATTGTTATATCATGGAATAATCTATATTTGTTTTCCTCAAACATTGGAAAAAATATTAAAATTACCTTGTCTTCTTAGAAGAAGACAAGAAAATTACTTATCAAGAGTAAATATGCTTTTCAGGCATCCTCAAAATACATCAGTGGTATCTATATTTAATTAATTTAATCAGACAAATTTTAATTATTTATTTTTTAAATTTACTGGATGCCCATCCTACCATAGGGTAACTCTGGGCAGCTTACAGATACATCTAAGTTAAAACATTTTTTTTTAAAAAAAATTAAAACCAAAGTCATAAGGGGGCGGAGCAGGGGCAGACTGGGGAAGGTAGGATCTGTTATTAATCAACTACTTCCATTGCGCTGTTCCCCCACTGTGGCCCCAAGCCAAGTGGCAAAGCCACATCTCTAGATCTTATGAAAAGATAGGAGGGTTGGGGCCAACCTCACATGTTGCGGGGGGGGGGCAAGATGTTCCAGCAGAGAAGGCCCTCTTCCTGAACCCCACCATCCAGTATAATCAGACTGATAGGACCTGTAGCATGACTCCTCCGCCGGCATGAATGGTATGGGCCAATCCCAGTGGGCTGAGACCCATGCCATGAAGGGGTTTTAAAGGTGATCACCAACACCTTGAATTGCACCTGGAAGCAGACTGGTAACCAATGCAACTCAAGGTTTTACAGGGGTCATTCTTGGGGAGGCCAAAACTACTCACGCTGCTGCATTCTGCACCAGCTATAGCTCAAATGGTGCTCAATCATCTTGAATAATTAGTATTTGTAATAATCTTTCCACAAGAACCAATGTTAATGAATTACATAGTTCATCAAATTATTCTCTCATTTTACAGAAGAGAACTCTAGTAATCTAGGCATTTGGTGCCTATGTGTTCAAAAGCTGTAGAGGTGTATTTACATGATTGCCAATAACTGGTTCAGATCGAATTACTTCAAAACTACAGTCTTCTCCATCTAGCCAGTGGCTTCTTCTATATACAGAGTTCAATTTTATAAGACATTTAAAGCGGAGCAGATTCTCAGTTTCAACTGTAACTTTAAATTTTATGTGGTGGTTCATATTGAACTGGCCATGGTTCTTGATATTAATTCT